ATAGTAATAGATAATGTATAATGTAAAAAGTTGTACAAACTGTAACAATATGTTCGAATAAACAGACCTGAGGCATGCCCTCACCTTAACTCCAAAAAAAAAAAAAAAAAAAAAAAACAAATTGTGATGGTACAAGATATTTTATATGTCTAATTTTCTATACTGAATTAATCTGATCATGAAATTCATTTAGAATAGTATTTACACAGGCTTGTAATAAATCAAAAACCTTATCAATACAATTTATTTCATATAAAATATTTACATTTGAATTATTTTGAGCTAACTTATTGAATTCAATCTGTGTTGCATAATAAAGAAAACTATGATTCATTTGTTCATATTATGAATGTTATATATGCACAGAGTTCTCTATTAATATCCTGAAACATTGTGTTGTATATATTTAATGATAAGATTATTGGCATTGATGCTTTCTATGTAACAAACTCATTATTATTATATCGTTTCTTAAGCAGTCAAAAAATTGTTGCACAAAGATTATATAATGATATGGATTGACCATCTAAATCTTTTTTAAGCACTCTATTAATACCTTTGATATAGCTTGTTGATTGCATTCTAGCTGTAAAATATAAACTTGTTTAACATCTAGCTCATGACTTTTTACTTGTATATAAATGCTCAAGATAATTTTTAGCCACAGAATAATCATTAATTAATATAATATATTTAGATTCAAATGCTTCAATATTAAGCTTATTACAGCATTGAAAAATTTTTTTGTGAAATCTTAATAATTTTTATGTAATTTACTTTTTAAATTCTTAGATAAATTTTGGCTAATATGTCAGATACAATATAAATGTTTTGTTTGTAAATAGATTTGAGCAATTGCAGCATCAATTGCTAGATTGGCATCAGTAATAATTATGAAAGGACAAAGTTCAAGTTTTTGCTTTAAAATTGTCAAGCTTCATGCATATAATTCCAAGGTTTCATCATCAAGAAATGCTTGTACAACTGGTTAAGTACTAAAATTATTATCTATAATTACAAATATCGAAAGTGAAAGATTATATATATTATTAGTCTTTGCTATATTATCATGAACAACTACAGAACTATAACAAATATACAATTCTATTTGTTGAGGCTTCATTTATAATAAATGTGTGAGAGTCTAAGATACTGAATCAATTTGATATTTTACAATTTATTGTGGATCATTATTCTTTTTTTTTCAATAAATCATTAAGAAGATTAAATGTATCTTTTTTTCTTTGCAAGTGTATTTTCTTGTCAAACCTTATAAATTGCATTATATAGATCTTATTTTACAATATGTTGCTGGTACTTGCTTATAAGCATATGATACTGCTTACTAGCATTGAGATTACCTGCAGATATCCAAAACTGAATATCATCTAGTATTTCTTTAGTTAACTTTCGAAATTGAGATAAAAGATAAACTGTTTGTGAATTAAGTGTATAACCTTTGTGCTCATTGACAAATGTTGTTACCATATAGATATCTTTGCTCTTTTTACTGATATTGATATGCCATGGGCAATCAACTTTATATGATGGTTTGTTTTGTTGATCATTGATACTAGCCACTTTATTTGGCAGATAAGTACCAGCATGCTTACATAAAAATAGTCTTTTGATAACATTCCTTTTTTTTAAATAACCTTTTCTATATCCAAAGCCCTTCCACTTACAATAATTATTAAGAAAAACAAATACATTTTGCCAAGATACAAATTGTTTACCAATATGCAAATTACTTTCATATTCATCAGATTTTAATCAATTTTCATCATATTCATTTTTGTTAAACTTCAAAAATTTTTACCATTTTTATCTCCATTGAACTCTTCACTACTGTCTGTTAATTTTTTTTTTTTTTTTTAAATATTAAGGTGAGTACTTGTGACCCAGGATTTTATTAGTAATATATTTGGCTAATAGATGTTTTACAACTACAGAGGGCAATTATAGAAAGAGTGTACACTAGCCACTTGTACAACTTTAGTCATTGTCTAATTTAAGTAGTCCATCTGAAGATTCTATACTAGCTGCCATACCTGGAACCTGCTTGTAGGTTATCTATTTAACTACTCTGTTTTCATATTCATTCACCTATCTCTGTTTACTAATGATCTTAGCTGTAGAGGTCTTACTCATTCAAAATTTTTATATTCAAATATTCATTTGTTCAATATTTTTAATATTCAAATATTTATTCAAAAATTTCAAATGAATATTCGAATGTTTACTGAATATTTATTGAATATTTAATATAGTAAAAAACAATTTTGTATTTTATTAATACTATAATTAAATAGCTAGCTAATAATTATAATATAAAATTAAAAAATTTTTAACTAATTTAAAAATTTTTTTTTTTTGATGTTAAGGTGAGGCCTTGCTCATATCTTTATTAACTAATTTAAAATTTTAAATATATACAAAAACATAATCTATTAAGTTTATATTTTAATTTGTAAAAATCTATATTAATTAATAAATAATTTTATAATTAACTAATATTTTTTTTTTTTTTTTTTTGAACTTTGATGACAATGCCAGTTGGTTTTTATTAGCTTTTTAATTTAATATAGTACAAATTTATGGTTACATTTTAGGATTGATTATTACTAGTACTATATAATATCTAATTTAACACCACTAACTTCACCCAGTTATCCTTATGGCACCTAAGTGCATGTCTGCCGCATGTCTGCATGCAGTTACCTTGGCAACTACTTGCGGTTATGGCATACATTAAACCACTATACAGACAAGAATACCTACCAAACTTAATGCAGC